TTTAAAGTATATATGAATTTTAATCTTTTTTATAGAAATTAAATGGGTTATGCGAACTTAAACCCAATCTGAACCTGTAAAAATTCAAACCAAACCGCAATGATCTAAACCAAACATAATCTAACCAAAACAATTAGTACCCAAATGTCCATATTGATAGCAAAATATATATAGTAAATTGCCCAGCTGAGAACTAAATAATAAAAACGTCAATAATATTCAATTAAATTATAAATGAGTATTAACTCATTTTGATTTATAGAATAAGAACTAACTTTCTATAAAAATTATATATAAATAATTCATATTTGTAAAACAAATTACACAAAAATAATTATAATATAAATTAATCAACTTTATAATTATAAACTAGATGAATACATTTACAAAATAACAAAATACTACCGTAAGATATTTAAAAATGAAATAATTTTATATATTTAAGATACATATCTAAATAAAAACATTAGGATATAAAAAATTAACATTTAATTATATGCAACTGATACACAAAATAACAATAAACAATTTTTTTTCAAACCTCCACCAATACATAATAATATAATTATCATAGATAAAGTCTTAAAATCGTTTATATATATATATATATATATATATATATATATATATATATATATATATATATATATAATTTTTTATAAAAGAAATATTAATAATAGCTATTATTAATATTTAATTATATCATGAAACATGTTATTATTGATATTTTTATGATTATAATTTTACGGGTTATTCTTATAAACAGACAAAATATTTATCAAATATAAAGTTAATTTAACAAAATATAAAATATAATATAAGTTATGCTTGGGAATTCAAGTACCTAATGGGATACAGATCGAATATTTTGAATCAAAGCTAATTTATATCACATCATATGTGTCAAAATATGTAATTAGACATGTTTGTAAGTATGGATCAGATTCAAATATAACACGTCGGGTTTGGTTCTAATTTGTACACATCCTAAAACCGATAAAGTAACCATATATCGGTCGGATTCGGGTTATATTGGTTTGGCAATCTAAAAAAAAAAAGAAAACAAAAGAAAGATACTTATTTTTATAGAATTGGATATTAAAGTGTTTAGTTAAAATTTAGATAATTAATTTTAAATATCATTTTAAAATAAATATAGAATTGAATATTTAAATTAGATATTTATGTTTCAATTATTTATATTTATGATTAATTTGGACATTCAGATCGATTCAATTTTTTTGGTTTTTGGGTTATTCGTTTGGGTCTGGCTAATAACACTTTGATTTGGATATATTTTATACCACCCTACAAAATTCATTCTGATATATTTTGTGTAGAAGTTGTTAAATGAAGTTAAGATATGAATAGATTAGATTAAATCAAATCTTAATATGGTTAGAATCGACTCTTGAAGATTATCTAGATTTTGTGTTTTTGTTTTACATATAAGACGATTCCTAGATTTTCATTTTTACCGTTTATTGTTTGTCTGATAATATTAAAATAGAGTCATTTTTACCATTTATTTTCACATAATATTAAAATAGAGTCATTTTCTATCTACTATAACAAGTCTAAGTAGAACCATTTCATTAATTACTTAATATGACATATTTGATTATTTACATCAGTTGAGAAAAATCTAACAAAATCTTACTAAAAATTCAAATAATTTTTTTTATAAAATAACACAATAATTAATTTCGTAATTAATAATATAATACTACTATGTATTAATTAAATTTTTATTATAAAACAGAAATAAAAATTCTATCATATTTTTTATAATTCCATGTTATAGTCTATATTGTATTAAAACATGATTACTCTATAAATTTAATAAAAATAAATAAGTATGGTAAATTAAATTTTTTTTTAAAGTTTTTTCACTTAAATACTATATAATAATTAATATGATATATTTGATTATTTACGTTAATCAATAAACTATACACCAAATATGCTGAAAAAGAATAGATTTAAAATTTATTTTTAGTTATATCAGTTGAGAAAAAATCTAACAAAATCTTACTAGAAGTTCAATTATATTTTTTATAAAATAACACAGTAAGTAATTTCATAATTAATAATATAATACTATTATACATTAGTACTAATTAAAATTTGACTATAAAAAAATTCTATCATATTTTATAAATTTCATAGTATTGTCTATATTATATTAAAATAGAAGTAGAAAATGAATTAAAATTTTATTTTTAAATTTATTTTACTGGAATAAATAAACTATTATTCACCGTTAAAAAGATTAACATACATAAACTATTTATATATTCATACAAAAAAATGTTAGCAAACCTTAAATTTTTATCTCCAACTATATCTTATTTTTTACTTAATTTAAAACTCACAACTATATATTATCTAAAAATGTGTATATACAAAATATATTAGTATATAACTAAATTTTAGTTCATGTATTATATAATAAGTAGTATGTCAGAAAATTTTAATAATTCAAAAAAGATTATGAAAAATCTTTTAACTACAAATTTATTTTTAATTATAAAATAATATGTTGAGAAAATAAATAAAAATATAACCAAAACTTTATAAATTAATTCAGTAATTTAGTAACAAAAATTTCAAAATCATATGATCTTTTAAAGTCAAATATATTTAGTACTTTTCAAAATATTTCTTGACCAAATATACAATTTTGAAAAAAAAAATTTTAAACTCAAATTGAAAAAAAAAAATCTATATTATAAAAGATAAAATTATAGATGATAAAGTGTATTTTTTTAAATGGAACACGGCAAACAATATACTATTTAAAAACAAAATAGTGTAATATTTTGAAATATTAATTTAATAAAACAAATTAGAGAATTTTAATACCATAACACCAAAACATTTCTGTATTGATAAAAATTACTAAAATAATACCATAGATGCTACTATATATAAAATTTATCAAAATAATATAGCTAAATTATTTAAGAAAATAATAAAATTTTATAAATATTGAAATATTCTAAAATGATATATGTTAAAGTTCTATTTAAACACAAAATAGAAATATCAATTAGCCTACATAAATATTATTTTATAATAGCTAAATAAAATCTAAAAATGTTTTGAATGTAACTTATAAAATTTTATTAATAACATATTGTAAAAGAGATTTTCTATTCGAATGTTTCAAATAATGAATTTATTTTACTTACTCGAAAACAAATTAGTATGTATAAAAACAATAGATATTAATAATGTTGAATAACAAAGTAAAAAATTAAAAAATATTATACATTAATAATTTTCAATGAAAACTTAAATAATAATATTTAAAAATTACACAATATAACACAAAATTTTAAATATATCTTTCAAATTCTAACATTAAAATTATATATATTTTAAAAATAAAAAATATATCCGCACGAACGTGCGGGTCAAATCTCTAGGTTTGTTAAAAGTATTTTAAATCAATATAACTGTTGTACTACTGGGTTTCAAAATCTTTCTTAGATAAACCAAGTTTTAGTTATATTGATCTTATTTTAGTCATCAGATTTATGGATCTTACTAATTTATCAAGTAGCGTTTTGGGCTTCTTCAATTTTTAAAAATCATTCATACATAAAGTCTATAAACTCATATTAGAAACCTTCATAAAATTTTTAAGTCTAAATTAATTAAAAGATATATACTTCAAACAAAAACTATTTTCTTATGTTTAAGTAAAATATATTTATAATCAAAAACCAAATCAGACCACTAAATTCTTACATACACAAAGAGGGTATTGCATTATACACTTATGATCATATCAACTTTACATCTATTCTATTAAAACTAACACCATGTATGAAAGAAAAAACCCAGTAATATTATACACATGCATAGAAAATATATTATATCGAAATAAATAAACTTTTGAATAAATAAATCTCAAAATTGATAATTGTATAATGTTATAAATTAAAATACTATATTTTATCATGTCAAAAATGTTATCCGAGAATAGAGTCTTATTTTTATCTACCGATAAAAAGTTACTAGACCATTTCATTAATAATTTTAATACATTAAAATAATATTTACATGTTAGATCATTTGAATAAAATATATTATCACACATAAAAATATTCTACTATATCACTTTTTATTTTTGAATATTTCCTAATTTACCTTAACAAAATCTTAAAAAATATTTTTCTTATTAATTGTAAATAATTGGTTAAATTCGAATTTAATATTAAATATTAGAAATAAAAAAAATTTCAATTTTAAATAAAAATTGGTATTTTTATAATATATTATTTTAATATATAAAGTAAAAATATAAAATTAGAAAAATAAAACGTAAGTTTAATAAAATAAAATTACAAAAATTACAAAATTATATTGTTTAATTATATGATTTTTAGTGTATAGTTGATGTATTATGTTTGTAAATTAAATAAAAGAATTTTGGCTTATTTAAAATAAAAAATTATTAAAATAAATTTCAATGAGAAATGTATAGAAAAATCTTATACATTTTCATTAGAAAACATAAAAAAAAAAACTTAATGAAATGAGATATATTTATTTTAATTTGAAATAAAATATTAAAATACAAATAAATGATATATTAATATATATTGTTTCCTAAAAATATTATAATAATTATAAATAATTATAATATTGATAATATCGAACAAAAATTATTAAATTGCATAATCTAAAACAAAAAATTCTAACATTTTATTTTATCATATTGTCATAAAATTAAATATAATTATAAAAATAAAAATATATCCGCGCGGACACGCGGGTTAAAATCTAGATGAATACATTTACAAAATAACAAAATACTACCATAAGATATTAGAAAATGAAATAATTTTATATATTTAAGATACATATCTAAATTAAAACATTAGGATATAAAAAATTAATATTTAATTATATGCAACTGATACACAAAATAATAATAAACAATTTTTTTCAAACTCCACGAATACATAATAATATAATTATCATAGATAAAGTCTGAAAATCGTTTATATATATATATAGAATTTTTTATAAAATAAATATTAATAATAGCTACTATTAATATTTAATATGATGAAACATGTTATTACTGATATTTTTATGACTATAATTTTACGGGTTATTCTAATAAACAGACAAAATATTTATCAAATATAAAATTAATTTAACAAAATATAATATATAATATAAGTTATGCTTGGGAATTCAAGTACCTATTGGGATACGGATCGAATATTTTGAATCAAAGCTAATTTATATCATATCATATGTGTCATAATATGTAAGTAGACATGTTTGTAAGTATGGATCAGATTGAAATATAACACGTCGGATTTGGTTCTAATTTGTACACATCCTAAAAGCGATAAAGTAACCATATACTGGTCGGATTCGGGTTATATTGGTTTGGCAATCTAAAAAAAAATGAAATCAAAAGAAAGATACTTATTTTTATAGAATTGGATATTAAAGTGTTTAGTTAAAATTTAGATAATTAATTTTAAATATCATTTTAAAATAAATATAGAATTGAATATTTAAGTTAGATATTTATGTTTCAAATATTTATATTTATGATTAATTTGGACATTCAGATCGATTCAAAATTTTTGGTTTTTGGGTTATTCGTTTGGGTCTGGCTAATAACACTTTGATTTGGATATATTTTATACCACCCTACAAAATTCATTCTCATATATTTTAGATTTTTGACCATTTACGGATCCAATTTTTTTTTTTAGATTGGGTTTAGACGTCGAGTTATGGATTTTATGCACATGTCTACTTTATATATAACAAAGATGCGGTCATATAAAATTTTCACCGAAAGATTATCCTGCATTTTTAAAAAGAATATGTTTGATGAAATTAAAGAACTAAATAAGTTTATCCCACATTTCTACATGTATAGGAAATGCGATTATATAAAGTTTGCATCAAACATAAACCCGCGCTTTGAAAGCGTGGATCAAAATCTAGTCTATTCTCTTAAAACTGGAACATGACCAGTTGATATATTTGTAGTCCAATAATAATGATTAACTGAAAAAAACAAACTTAAGAAACCCAAATCCGACAGTAGCTTGATTATCCCACATTTCTACATGTATAGAAAAAGCGATTATATAAAGTTTGCATCAAACATAAAGCGCGGATCAAAATCTAGTCTATTCTCTTAAAACTGGAACATGACCAGTTGATATATTTGTAGTCCAATAATAATGATTAACTGAAAAAGCAAACTTAAGAAACCCAAATCCGGCAGTAGCTTGATTTTCGACGACGGAGACCTTGTCGGGGAAGATGACGACGAGTTGAAAACGTGCGGAGAAGGAGAGAGCCGACGGTGAGTTCAGTTTTCTCGATTTCTTTTTTGGTTTTAACCAGTCCGTTGTGACCACTCGATTATCAGTGTGCCGTTTCCTTAAAATATGTTTGTGATGAGTTGGTAATTAGTCAACTACTAAACCGGCAATCAAACCGTACGAAGAAATCTCATCCAACGTACCAAGTGTATGGCTTGGTCAAGCCATTCGGTTTTATTAGTTATCGGACCGGGTTTGGTTCGGTTCCTTCCAAATCCGATTCCGATTGGATTATAATCAATATATAAAATCGTTCAAAAATACTTTTTTTTAACTTAAATTTATAAAAAATACACGCAATATATAAATTATTCACAAAACTAACTAAATACAAGTTAAACTACCTAAATTAATTAAGATTTATTCAAAATAACAAATAAAATAAACTATAAAAAAATCTTTAAAATACTCTAAAACATCCAAATTTCCTTAACCTATATAAAAATAGTAACATATTCCACTAATTTCGGATATCCAAGTTTAGATTTCGGTTGGATTCGGGTTGTACCCATATCCCAAAGTACCAAACTCTCAAGTCCCATTTGAATATTCTTATATAACGGTTTGGATCCAGATTCGTTTTTTTTTTGTTCGGATTAAGGTAGGGAGTTTGGTTTGGGGTAAAAACACCCAAGCCTAGGCTTGACAGTTTATTATCTTTATTTTATGAGAACATTCAAAAAAGAAACACTCTCAACTTTAATTTGTTTCAATAGAAATTTTAGGAAATGTTTAGGAAAACATGATTTTAATCCCTGTAAATACCATACTACCTTAGTATATCAATTAAGTTGAATTATTATCATAAAGTATAATTTTCGTAATTGATTTTAAATGTAAAAATATAAAAAGTTAAAAAGCAAAAATAAAAATAAAAAATAGGCAAAAAGAGAAACAAAGGGTGGCTAATACCCCAATTTCTTTTTGAGAAAATTAGAAAAAATGACATTCTCAACTTTTGTTTGTCCCTTTAGGACTTTTCATATTTTTGACAATTTTGGACATGTTTTACTCTTTTTTTTCGTGGAAAAATAGTAACCTTATTTTAAAAATGTAAAAATTATGAAAACTATTAGAAACATAAGTATGACAATTTATATGTTTATGTTTTTTTTAGAAAATATGGAATTATGTTTTATTTTATTTTTTAGCTACGGTTGGAATACTCTGGTAACCTACTTAGGTTAGAAATATGATACTAAATTTTATACGTGATATATCCAGTATTATCATAAACTATTTTTTTGTATATTCTAATGAAGCTAGAATTCATTACGTTATAATCAAGAATGATGTCTTCAGTCTACCTACAACTTGATAACAATATATAGCCACAACTCTATGGTATACTTTATCTATAATATCTGCCATAAACTATTCTGGCATTTTACCTTATGTGACATTTAAGGAAAAATAGGTTTCTCACCTACTCTTTTGTGTTCTTGGTGAGGGATGATACGTATTCTAGCCAAATCCGAAAATATGAAAATTTCTATATTTGGTTAAAGATGTTTCCTAAATTTACCCCCCAAATCTATCTTAAATCTCTCAGTTGAATAGTAACATTAGAAACTACTGTTCCGCTGGAGCAGCTCAAGTCTCAAGATCAGGGTGTATAAAAATTATGAGTGGAACATAATACTGTTAATACCAAGTACAGTTATGAGATGGTGAATGAAAGAGGGAATCTTCCCATTGATACAGCAATGATCACCAAGTATCTATCTTAAACACGGAGTAATACAGATCCTTCTGTAGCGATCTCAGAAATACCTAAACTGGGTTAATTACTAATAGACAAACTGACTAAAAGGTCAGTAGAAAACATTACTTTTTCAAGGAAAACTATTAGTACAACGTTCAAAACATACATGTACATAAGATGACCTCTCTCTAAGAGTAATCAATGAAACATCAATTCACACTTTGCTTCAAGCAATATTGTTCCAGCTCAAGCCAGATTCTTTTGTCCCTAACTTCTTAGCAGCTTCTTCACTTAACCGATCCCACATTCCCATAGTTGCATAAACGTTCTAAATACATGTATAAATCAATGGATCTTCTGGAAAAGTATTGAGCAGTTTCTCAGCTATTACAGTGACCAGTTCAGCGTTCTTGTGTTGTGAGTTCCACAAGCAGTCAGCAGAGACATCCATATCGTCTTATCAGGCTCAAACAGCATTTCGTTTATGATTCCCTCTGCCTCTTGGAACCTCCCCGCTAGACCAAGAAAATCAACTACACAATAATAATGCTTTAGACACGGTTCAAGACCATATTCAGTTTCATCGATTCGAGTATGAACCTTGCTTCTTTAAGCAGTCCAGAATGTCGACAAGCAGAGATAACCCCGTAGAAAATTACCTCATTTGGTTCAACTCCAGAATCAATCATCTCGTGGAAATACTGAATGGCTTCTTTGGCTCGTCTGTTTTGTCCACAACCAAGAATTGTCCATGTCCAAGACATGACATCTCTTTCCAACATACCATCAAATAACACAACACCATTGTCTATATTGACACATTTCACATACATATCTATTACACTACAAGAAAACTAAGAGTTTACTAGGAAAATTTACTAGGAAAATATTTCCTCGTAAATTTACTACGAGAATACTTCGGTTTTACGAGGAAAACAAGAATCCTCGTAAAGTCCTCGTAAACGTACGAGAAAACTGTTTCCTCGTAAGGTCGTATTAATATTACGAGGAAACTACGTGGCAAAAGAACATTTCCTTGTAATTTCGTAGTAAAACATTTCCTCGTAAAGTCATAGTAAAACTTTACTACGAAATTAGGAGGAAATGTTCTATTACTTCAAATTACCGAGTAAAATATCTACTTTAAATCTAAAACGTGTTTTGTACCTACCTTTCCTAGCAATTTCCTAGTAAATGTTCAGATTCAAAAATTTCTACAAAACACCATTTGTAATTCATTTCAAACACACAAAAAAAAATCAGCTTTAAGCTTGATCAAAGAAAAAAAAACCGGGAGAGTGACGAAATAATTTCTCGAAGGGTTGGAGATGTTTATGCATCAAGCAGATTCTACACCACTCACGCAAGAAAGTGGTAAGATGTTCTGTCCTTATCGGAAATGCTGCAATACAAAATTAGGCCCTCGTGAAAATGTTTGGAAGCATTTAATAAATAGAGATTTCATGCCATATTATTATATTTGGTATCAACATGGAGAAGATGCTAGTTGTAGGAATGAAGCTAGCAGTAGTAATATAAATTTTCAGGTTGAACCGGTTGATCATTTGCGTAATGAAAATAGATATCATCACAAGGAGGAACAAATGGTAGATTGTGAAGGGTTCATGATATGGTAGGTGATGCATTTGTAGCTCATGATGATGATGAAGTTGAAGAACTTAACTTAGATGCAAATTTTTTTATGAAATGTTAGAAGCTGTGAATGAGACAATTTACAGTGGTTGTAGAGAAGGTCTGTCTAAATTATCGTAGGCTGCTAAAATGATGAGTATTAAAACCGATCACAATCTACCTGAAAATTGTATGGATGCATGGGCAGACTTGTTTAAAGAGTATTTGTCAGAAGACAATGTGTCTGCTGAATCTTATTATGAGATTCAGAAATTGGTATATAGTCTTGGGTTGCCCTCGGAAATGATAGACGTTTGCATCGACAATGATGAGAAGTTAGAAGAATATCGATTTTGTAAGAAGCCACGATTCAAACCGCAAGGTCGAGGGCGTAATAGGGTACCGTACCAAAGGATGTGGTACCTACCAATCACAGACAAATTGAAAAGATTGTACCAATCTGAGGAGATTGCTGGAGGGATAAGATGGCACGCCGAGCATACTCAGACGGATGGAGAGATGACTCATCCATCAGATGAAAGAGCTTGGAAATTTTTTAACAATGTACATCCACATTTCTCTAGCAATAGCCGAAATGTGTATATTGGATTATGCACTGATGGATTAGTCCATTTGGAATGTCAAGGAGACAATATTCATTGTGGCCAGTCTTTCTTACACCGTACAACCTGCCACCGGAGATGTGCATGCGATGAGAGTTTATATTCTTGACCATATTAATATTTGGTCCAAAGCATCCAAAAAGATCTCTCGACGTTTTTCTACAACCACTAATAAAAGAGTTGAAAGATTTGTGGTCAACAAGGGTGAGGACATATGATTGTTCGACAAAAACAAATTTTACAATGCAAGCGATGTTTTTGTGGCCATAAGTGACTTTCCTGCATATGGGATGTTGTATGGATGGACTACACATGGGAGATTAGCTTGTCCATATTGTAATGGAATGACAGATGCGTTTCAGTTGAAGAATGGTAGGAAGACTACTTGGTTCGATTGTCACCGTCAATTTCTTCCCGTTTACCACCCATACCGAAGAAACAAGACATTGTTCAGGCACAAAAGGGTTGTCAGAGACACTCTTCCTCCATACTTAACTGGGAATTGGCATGTTCCCAGTAATATGCCTGATTCTTATGATGTTCTGCACAATTGGAACAAAAAGAGTATATTTTGGGAATTGCCATATTGGAAAGATCTTCTTTTGCGCCACAACCTCGATGTGATGCATGTAGTGAAGAAATTTTTTGAGAACATCGTGAACACTATATTGAATGTCCCAGGGAAGACGAAAGACAACGTAAAATTGAGGTTGGACTTACCCGATATCTGCTCAAGGAGTGAGTTACATATAAAAAGCAATGAGCAAGTTCCAGTTCCGATATTTAGACTGTCATCACAAAAAAAGACTATGCGTTGTTCAACTGGGTGGCTTCAGAAGTGAAGTTCCCTGATGGGTATGTTTCAAATCTCTCAAGCTGTGTTGAGAAAGGGAAAAAGTTTCCCGGGATGAAGAGCCATGATTGTCATGTCTTTATGCAGCGGCTACTTCCCTTTGCATTTGCGGAGCTACTACCGGTAAAAGTACATGAAACACTTTCAGGTAATTAGTATAATACGACGAAAAAATTAATTTATTTCTTTATATATATATATATGAATATACTAATGTGTTTAATTTTTGTAATATATAAGGAATTGAAGCATTTTTAGGGATCTGAGCACCCGCACTCTTAAAGAGGAAGTTGTCCAACAACTTCATGAAAACATCCCCATCTTAATCTGCAACTTGAAGAAAATATTTCCGGCTACTTTTTCTTAACGTCATGGAACACCTACTTGTCCACCTCCCGTATGAGGCATTACTTCGTGGACCTGTGCATTACAGATGGATGTATTAGTATGAAAGGGCCATGAAAACTTTGAAAGGAAAAGCCAAAAACCTAGCAAAAGTTGAAGGTTCTATTGTTGCGGGAAGTTTGACGGAAGAAACATCACATTTCACATCGTACTCCTTTGCACCGAAAGTACGTACAAGGAAACGAGCTCCAAGAAGATATGATGATGGTGGTGTCGTGCCGGCATATATGGAAGACAATGTTCCAAACATATTTTGTCAAATTGGGCGATTGGGTGGGAAATTGAAAGAGATTTGGTGGTCTAGTGATGAAGACGTCCATAGTGCACACCTTTATATTCTTCTCAATTGCGAGCATCCATTGATTGGTTATTTTAAAAGGTAAACATATAAACATACACACTTATATATATATATATATATATATATATATATATATATATATATATATATATATATATATATATATTCAATTGATTAAATAACATAACATAATTTTACATCCAATTTGTGACTCAAGTCGAAGAAGCAATATCTGGTATATCGACAACTGAGTTAGACAAAAGAAAAGATCAACACTTTATCAAGTGGTTGAGGAAACAAATATTTATTATTATAACTTAAATTTTATGCATACATTACCACAAAGTAAGTCTAATGTCTAGTTCTATTACTTTGCAGGTTGATTATGACGATCCTGAGGATCCCGCATGGTTTCGCGAATTATTTCAAGGTCCAGTTGCAAAGGTCACTACATCGTCGATGTATTTCACCCGAGGCTATACTTTTCATACCTATGACTATGGTAGACACTGGGCAACAAGTAATTGTGGAATATGTGTGAAAGGCGAAACAGATTTCTACGGGATCTTGCAGGAGATTTATGAAGTTCAATTCCCAGGAATGAGTCTAAAATGTGTTATCTTCAAGTGTGAGTGATACGACCCCGTCGTCAACAGAGGTGTTCGGATTAACGAAAACAGTATAGTTGATGTCAATGGTGGACGAAGGTACAACAATTTTTTTTTTTTGACATACTTGTTCTGAGTACTAATTTGTACGTTGTCTTTATTTTTGCAGGTACAACAAATTCGAGCCTTTCATATTAGCTTCCCAAGCAAATCAAGTTTGCTTCATTCCATACCCTCGGATTAATACCGAGGGAATAAACTGGTTAGCTGTTATCAAAGTTACATCTCGAGGACGAATAATCGCTGGAGAAGAACCACCATTACAAGAAGAAAACACCAATGAAATCGAGGAACCTGAAGAAGAAATTGATGACATCCTACTCATTTGATCCGCATAATCGTGAATACGAAGATGTTCCTGATCACTCAACGGACGAAGGTGTCGAGGACGAGTTTTACGAAAATGATGATGTTTCTACAGATTCCAAGAATGTATCCGAATGAATTATGTATGTTTTATAAGTTTGTTTAATCAAAAAATGAATTTGAATTATGTATTTTTAAGTTTTTTTTAATTAAAAAATAAATAAAAAATGAATTTGGGGTTTAGGTGTAGAAGAGGTTTGGAGTTTGGTTGTAGAAGAGGTTATAAGTTAAGGAATTTGTAGTTTGGTGTTTGGGGTTTCGAGTTTAGGGATTTACAAATTCTTTCCTCGTAAAATCCTAGTAAAAGAAAACGAGGACTAGCGATATCCTCGTAAAGTCCACGTAGGATCTTTCCTCGTAAAGTCCATGTAAGCTTTTTACTAGGCCGTCATCCTGGTCCTCCTCCTCCTCCTCCTCCTCCTCCTCCTCCTCCT